GGCGGCAGTGGGGGGGGGGGGGACCAGCCAGGGGCAGCAGAGTGGGGCCCAGGCTGGTGGCCAGCTCTGGGGGAACCCATCTGCCACTTAGCAGGTGGGTGGGAGCTGTCTGGGCCTGGGGCTTCCTGAGGTCAAGGGACTCCTCGACTTCCTTTTTCTGAGCTGTGGTCAGCTCTGCCTGCAGTTCACCTTTGAGGCTACCGGAGTGTTTTGGGTGTGATGGGAACGATCTTGTCTGAACTTGCCAGCTCCTGTGGGGTGGCACCTGCGTTTCCTGGTGACTGAGGCAGCTCTTCAGTGTCCCTGCCTGTGGCAATGCTGCAGGGGCCCGCAGTACATCCAGGGCAGCGTGTGGCAGCCTTGCCTCCCATGGCTCTCCAGCCATCTGCTTCAGTGCATGCTAGGGGTGTTTCCAGTGGTGGACACCACAGGCAGGTTGCGTCGAGCGGCCTGCGCCCTGTGGTCACGTGGCGGCTGCCCTCCTGTCTTACAGAGTGGGTCCTGGACACTGGAGGGAGCACCACTGGGCTTGGGGCTTCTGCTTGGAGCTTGCCGGCCAGCATAGGCCCCCCTGCCTGGCTGGCAGAGGACCCCGCCCTCCAGACTCCTGCCCCAGCACCCCGGCTCCCACCTACAGTCCCAGTGCAGCCATTGTCATTGGTGACCGCTGGGGCTCACAGCCCAGCCAGCTGGCCGTGCAGGCTGTGCGGCATCTCTGGAGCCTGCCTCCTCCCAGAGTGCACGTGCAGGGCAGGGTGGGGCGGGCCGTTTCCTTGTCGGCTTCCACCTCCAGAAGCCCTCGGTTTCCTGGAAGGTCTGGAAGTGCTTTGCTGGGGTTCACAGGTTCCGACTTGGGGTGTTGGTAGGGACACTGCTCCCAGTCCCCCACATGACTCACACCTGCCTCCGGCCCCCTAGGGTGGCACGCCAGGTCCCGGTGACACTGTTTCTCTACCAGCCACTATCGCTCAGCTGATCTGTGGGCGTCCTGTGTCCACTCTGGGCTGACCACTGCACTCAGGCTGGAACACCAGGAAATGCCTCTGGAGGTGTGAAGGCCGGGGAGGGTGAAGCCAGGCAGAGAGGCATGGGAAGGCGTCCCAAAGAGGCAGTGACAAGGTGACGGGGACACATGGCCCAGAGCAGAGGTCTGCTGTACTCGAGAACATTCCAGAGAAGGCAGGACGGGGCAGAGGACAGGAGGCAGTCAGGCTGAGGGCAGGCCTTGTGCCTGCTGAGATGGGCAGACTGACCACGACTCTGGCACCAAGGCAGCGGGCTGCAGGCATCACCGGGCTGTTGAGGCAGTGGACTGGGCATGGCTCAGGCTTGGGACATGGAGGGAGCCCTTGGGCTGATTTGATGAAATGAGCTGAAAAGTTGGTGCAAGAACTGGGGATACTGGGACATGGGCTGGAGGGTCCGCGGTTGAGGGAGTGCTGGTCACTGCTGTTACTGGCTGGTGTCAGCGTAGTGTCTTGTGGGGATTTTTTTTTTTTGGAGAGGTTTTTGCTATAGGGCATGTGCACTCGCTAGAAAGAAAGAGACAGAGAGTGTGAAATCACCCCCCAGGGGGATGGCCACGCCACAACCCCTTCTCCTCCATTCTCCTCTCAGGATCTTGGGCATTTTTTGAGAGGTTTTTGCTATAGGGCATGTGCACTCGCTAGAAAGAAAGAGACAGAGAGTGTGAAATCACCCCCCAGGGGGATGGCCACGCCACAACCCCTTCTCCTCCATTCTCCTCTCAGGATCTTGGGCATGCATGCACATGTGCCCGGTGTGAGTTTAAGCCACCTGGTCCGGGACTCAAACTGTGGTCGACTACATGGGAGTCCAGCGACATAACCATTATGCCAACTGCTGGTCCCTGTCTTGTGAGGATTTAAGATAAGCAGTTGGAAGTTTCACATGGCATCTCGGTGGCTCTGGGTGTCTGGTGAGAAGGGCAGGCAGGCAGCCCACACAGAAGCCTGCCCTCCTCCAGCCTTGGTGGCCAGCAGCCCCGCCTGTCCCTCTGTCCCCTGCAGCGCTGCTCTCCCTGAGTGTGCCTGCCTCAGTCAAGGTGTGCCCGGGGCCCGTCCCTCCTCATGGGGGCTGCCCTGGCTCTGGCTGAGGGTCCTCGCGGTGCCTGGCATGGTCCTAGAGTGAGCCGGCCCCGTGGGGACTCTGTCCGTGTGGTACGGAGGGAGTGTAGCCCTTGCTGGGCCGGGGCTGACGGTGCTTCCTTGCTCTCCCCACCAGGTGCTGTGGGCACTGAGGGAGAGGATCTCGGAGGCGCTGGGCCGGGACGGCTATGTGTACAAGTATGACCTCTCCCTGCCTGTGGAGCGGCTCTACGACCTGGTGACCGACCTGCGCACCCGCCTGGGCCCGCGTGCCAAGCACGTGGTGGGCTATGGCCACCTGGGTGAGCCCCTGTGTCCTACCTCGCTGGCCTGCTCCTCCCCTGCTCTCCCAGGTGCCTGGGTGACTGGAAGAGCTAGGGATAGAGGAGGCCTCTGGTGGTTCTTTCTGGAACTCTCTGAAAGGCCGCCTGGTGAGTTGTACAGCTAAGCTCATGGCCCAGACCACGGATCTCCGGGAGCCTCTCCTGGGTATACCTCTCCTGGCTCCTTGGCCTTCCACGGGCCTGACAAGTGGCTGTTGCGGATCCCTTCCTTGGATCCAAGTGGCCGGGCCAGTTGCAGACTTTTCTTTGGAGAAAAGTCAACCTTTCGGTTTGAGTTAATTAAGAGGACAAGACTGCTCATCTGTGTAGTCCTTGGCAGCCTGTGGGACAGGTGTCTGAAGGTGCCATCAATGGGAGACGGGCAAGGAGTGGGGATGGAGTGTGGCCTTAGGGGCTGCTGACCGGAGCTTGGCTCCCGCATGGCCCTGTGGGGCTCTGGCTTGGGTCAGGGAGAGCCTTGGAGTGGCCTGTGGGATGGCGGTGCCGGGTGGGGTGGGGGTTGGGGTTGGTGCTGTGGACCAAGGGAAAGTGACCTTCCAGGAGCTCAGTGGTGCAGGGTGCCCACCCTCGTCCCATGATGCTCAGCTGCACCTGGCGTAGTCTCCTGGGCTCTGGAGACGTCCTGCAGGGCCCTGTGGATGTTTAGGAGGAAACATGGGAGAAGTGGCCCGACGAAGGTGGAGGGCTTCAGAACGCGGCACAGAAGCATAAACTGGAGGACAGAGGGGACCGGCTGCGTAAGACGTAGACACTTCTGTTCGTCATGACAGCTCACTGGGGATGTCGGCAGGCCAGCACAAGGCTGAAAACCGGGCTCAGGGAGACTGCGTAGGGCCTGGAGTTGGGCTGTGATGCGATGCGAGTGCACCTGACCCAGGAGACAGGACCCCAGAGGGACCAGCTGAGGACGCAATGGGGTTTTATCACCAGGGAGGAGGCTGTGGTGCCCTAGCCGCCATTCGAGACCCAAACTCTCATGCTGCAATGGTGACACTTCCTTTTTCTTTTTAGCCACAGGACATGTGTGCTTTCTGGAGAGACAGAGACAGGCAGAGAGAAAGTGAGAAATCGCCCCCTGGGGGGATGGCCATGCCACAGCTCTTCTCTTCTGTTCTCCTGGTATTTTGGGCACACATGTACATGCGCCCAGCATGTTTCAAGCAGCCGGATCTGGGACATGAACCAAATTTGACCACGTTGGAGTCCTATGCCTTAACCACCACACTACCCACTGGCCCCTATTTTTCTTGCTCTGGAAGAGGGATTTAAATTTTTTAACCTGTTTGCCACCATCTCTCCCTACTTCCTCCAGCTTTCCAGCCTCTAGGACTAGTTGCTGTGTTACTGTCTGCTTCTATGAGGTCAGCTTTTGAATTTCCATCTGTGAGTTAGAACAAAGCTTTTCCTCTCTGTGCCTGTGTTATTTCATAAACCTGACGTCCTCTAGGCTCATTCACTGTGCCACAGATACCAGGATTTTACTGGCTGAATAGTTTTCCATGACGTGTGCGTGCGTGTGTGTGTATGCATATATATTCCATGTTTTCTTTGCACGTTTCTGTCTGTTGATTCGCACTTAGCTTGATTTCATATTTTGTTTTTTGTGAAAGGCGCTGCATAAACACCAGGGTGCAGACTTCTCTATGACACACTGACTTTCTCCTGGGTCTGTACCTAGCAGCGAGGTTGTTGGATCATACAGCAGTTCTACACATAGTTTTTTAGGGAACCTCCATACTGTTTTATATAATGGCTGTACTAGTTTATGCTTCCCCTTGCAGTACACAAGGGTCCTCTTTTTCTGCATCTCACCTCACATTTACTATTGTTAGCTATTCTAACTGGGACGAGATGCTATCTCAGCATGGTTTTGGTTTGTATTTCCTGACTGGCATTGCTGAGCATTCTCATATAGTTGTTGGCCATTGATATTGAGAACTGTTTGTTCTGATTGTGTGCACATTTTAAAATTCTGAGTATTTATTTTTTGACTAATGAGTTGAGTGCCTGGTCCGTTTTGGTTATGTATCTCTTGTCGGATGTACAGTTCCCAAATGCCTTCTGCTCTGTAGGTTTTCTCTCCACTCTTTTGTTTTCTTTGCTGTGTAGAAACTTTTTAGTTTGACATAATCCCATTTGTCTAATTTTGCTTTTGTTTTCTGTACTTTTAAGATTTTACCCAAAAATTCTTTGCCTAGGCCAATGTCCTAGAGCATTGCCCTCATGTTTTTCCTGGTAATTTGGTGTTTTGGTAGGTATTGCATCGACTCTGTAGATCGCTTTTGGTGGTATAGGTATTTCAACAATATTGATTCTTCTAGTACATGAACATGGGAAGTCTTTCTGTGTGTGTGTGTGGGTGTGTGCACTCAATTTCTTGCATTAGTGTTTCATAATTTTTATTGTAGAGATCTTTCATCTCCTTGGTTAAATTTATTCCTAGGTATCTTACTAATTTTTTGGTAAATACTGTAAGTAAGATTTTTTTCTTTCGCTCTCTCTCTTTCTTTTCTTTTTAAAGAGAGATTTTTGCTGAGAGACAGAGAAGGAGAAAGCTAGAAATTACCCCCTGGGGAGATGGCCATGCCACAATCCCTTTTCCTCCATTCTCCTCTTGGGATCTTGGGCATGCATGCATGCACATGTGCCCAGCATGAGTTTTAAGCCACCAGGTCCGGGACTCGAACCAAGGTTGATTATGTGGGAGTCCAGCAGCATAACCATTATGCTATCTGCTAGTCCCTTTCTTTCTCTTTCCTTCTTTCCTTTCTTTGCCCCCCTCCCCATCCCAGCTAGTTTGTTATTGGTATATAAAAGTGCTAATGAGCTTTGCATATTGACTTTGTATCCTGTAACTTTACAGAACTTGTTTGTCAGCTCTAAACTTTTATTTTGGGGGGTTCTTTTTAGCCACAGGACATGTGTGCTTTCTGGAGAGACAGAAACAGGCAGAGAGAAAGTGAGAAATCGCCCCCTGGGGGGATGGCCATGCCACAGCTCTTCTCTTCTGTTCTCCTGGTATTTTGGGCACACATGTACATGCGCCCAGCATGTTTCAAGCAGCCGGATCTGGGACATGAACCAAATTTGACCACGTTGGAGTCCTATGCCTTAACCACCACACTACCCACTGGCCCCTATTTTTCTTGCTCTGGAAGAGGGATTTAAATTTTTTAACCTGTTTGCCACCATCTCTCCCTACTTCCTCCAGCTTTCCAGCCTCTAGGACTAGTTGCTGTGTTACTGTCTGCTTCTATGAGGTCAGCTTTTGAATTTCCATCTGTGAGTTAGAACAAAGCTTTTCCTCTCTGTGCCTGTGTTATTTCATAAACCTGACGTCCTCTAGGCTCATTCACTGTGCCACAGATACCAGGATTTTACTGGCTGAATAGTTTTCCATGACGTGTGCGTGCGTGTGTGTGTATGCATATATATTCCATGTTTTCTTTGCACGTTTCTGTCTGTTGATTCGCACTTAGCTTGATTTCATATTTTGTTTTTTGTGAAAGGCGCTGCATAAACACCAGGGTGCAGACTTCTCTATGACACACTGACTTTCTCCTGGGTCTGTACCTAGCAGCGAGGTTGTTGGATCATACAGCAGTTCTACACATAGTTTTTTAGGGAACCTCCATACTGTTTTATATAATGGCTGTACTAGTTTATGCTTCCCCTTGCAGTACACAAGGGTCCTCTTTTTCTGCATCTCACCTCACATTTACTATTGTTAGCTATTCTAACTGGGACGAGATGCTATCTCAGCATGGTTTTGGTTTGTATTTCCTGACTGGCATTGCTGAGCATTCTCATATAGTTGTTGGCCATTGATATTGAGAACTGTTTGTTCTGATTGTGTGCACATTTTAAAATTCTGAGTATTTATTTTTTGACTAATGAGTTGAGTGCCTGGTCCGTTTTGGTTATGTATCTCTTGTCGGATGTACAGTTCCCAAATGCCTTCTGCTCTGTAGGTTTTCTCTCCACTCTTTTGTTTTCTTTGCTGTGTAGAAACTTTTTAGTTTGACATAATCCCATTTGTCTAATTTTGCTTTTGTTTTCTGTACTTTTAAGATTTTACCCAAAAATTCTTTGCCTAGGCCAATGTCCTAGAGCATTGCCCTCATGTTTTTCCTGGTAATTTGGTGTTTTGGTAGGTATTGCATCGACTCTGTAGATCGCTTTTGGTGGTATAGGTATTTCAACAATATTGATTCTTCTAGTACATGAACATGGGAAGTCTTTCTGTGTGTGTGTGTGGGTGTGTGCACTCAATTTCTTGCATTAGTGTTTCATAATTTTTATTGTAGAGATCTTTCATCTCCTTGGTTAAATTTATTCCTAGGTATCTTACTAATTTTTTGGTAAATACTGTAAGTAAGATTTTTTTCTTTCGCTCTCTCTCTTTCTTTTCTTTTTAAAGAGAGATTTTTGCTGAGAGACAGAGAAGGAGAAAGCTAGAAATTACCCCCTGGGGAGATGGCCATGCCACAATCCCTTTTCCTCCATTCTCCTCTTGGGATCTTGGGCATGCATGCATGCACATGTGCCCAGCATGAGTTTTAAGCCACCAGGTCCGGGACTCGAACCAAGGTTGATTATGTGGGAGTCCAGCAGCATAACCATTATGCTATCTGCTAGTCCCTTTCTTTCTCTTTCCTTCTTTCCTTTCTTTGCCCCCCTCCCCATCCCAGCTAGTTTGTTATTGGTATATAAAAGTGCTAATGAGCTTTGCATATTGACTTTGTATCCTGTAACTTTACAGAACTTGTTTGTCAGCTCTAAACTTTTATTTTGGGGGGGGGTGAAGTATTTAGGTTTTTCTGTATTTGCAATCATGTCATCTGCAAATAGGGCGTTTTGATGGCCTCCTTTCCAGTTTGGGTACCTTTTATTGCTTTCTCTTACCTCATTGTACTGTTTATAAATGTGTTTATCAATTTCCAGACATAGACAGTTTTCTAGATATTTTAAGATAATTAATTTGTTATTAATTGCATTGTGGCCAGAGAGCTTGGTCTTTTTTTTTTTTTTTTTTTTTTGCATCAGCTTCATTAACGGCCCAGTTGTTGATCAAGTCAACTTTATAACTGGTCAACTTCTATAATTTTTTAATGAGCACTTGAAGAGGGTGTCTTTCTGTAGCTGATGGAGTCAGTGTCTGCATAGACCAGTCAGATGTGCAATGTGGTGTTCAGCTGTCAGTTACTGCGAGGATGTGCTAGAAATTCCCGCCTGACAACCAGCTGTTTCTCCATGCAGCTTCCTCAGTCTGAAGCTACAGCCTTAAGAGCATAGATTTGAGTTATCATTTCATTCTAGCAAATTGATCTCTTACCATAATAGGCTCAATTCCTTTTATCTCTAGAATTGTCTTTTGCCTTGAAGCCATTTTGTTATTATAGAACAACATTTTTACTTAGTATTTATTTGAGGTGCTACTTTTTACTTCCACTACTTTCAAACTTTTTCTATTTTTCTATTTATTCTTATAATGTGGATGTGTCTTTGGAGACAACATATAGGTTTCTTTTTCTTTTCCAGGTTTTTTTTTTTTTTTTCCTTCTATAGGGTACATGGACTTGCTGGAGAGAGAAAAGTGAGAAGTCAACCCACAGGAGTGTAGCCACACTGCAATCCTTTCTCTTCGATTCTACTCCTGGGGTTTCGTCATGTATGCACACTTGTCCTGTGTGTTTTCCAAGCCACCAGTTCTTTAGACTCAAACTGCTCATTCAGCCATTTGGGATCTAGACCTTAACTACCACATCACCTGCTGGCCTCTTCCTGTGTTTCTTTATTTCTTTTTAAAATCATTTTATTTTATTTGCTCATTTTATTTTAATTAACCAGAGAGAGAGACACAGAGAGAGAGGGAAAGTGAGAAAGCAAGCCACTAGGTCCAGGACTAGAACCGTGGTTGGCCATGTGGGAGTGTCCACTGACTTAACCACCATGCCCCCTGCTGGTCCCCCTCCTGTGTTTCTTATCTTTCTTTCCAGCTATCTGCCAGTTTGTTAATCCCTCTTTGTTATGGTAGCATGCAGTTAAACGTGTTGAGGTTTACACTCTATGATTGTATGTTCTTGTGGGAAGCTGCACACCAGCGAGTCTGCCGAGGTTTCTCAGAGAGCAAACAATTATGTCCCCCCGGGTCAGGACATGTTCTGGTTTTAGAAAGTTGATTTGGATATTTAGAAACTGTGCTGGTTGGTTTTTATGGTGGTCATTTTTTACATCTCCCCTTTTACACTTGCAAATGATTCTGGAAGTGGCAGTATTAAGGTCCATGTAGATCCAACTCTGCTGGCTCTTCCTCGTGGTGATTTGTTTGCTTGTGTGTACATAACTTTGGGCATGAGCTCTTATTCTTTGGCTTTTATCTGTAGGAATCATGCAAGGTCCTGCTCAGGCAGTTTGCTTCTGTAAGGAGTGAGGACTGAGTCTCTGGAACCTCGTTAGTCTGCATGTTCCTCATCAGTGCCTTTGGTGTCACCAAGGGCACCCGGGCAAATGTTTCAGTTTTCTGCGGAGGCAGTTCCTTCCACCAGGTCCCTCACCCTTACCCTGAGACGGTGTCAGTGGGTAGGGGCTGCCTCAGTGGGATGGAGTCCCTGTGTGCTCCCACCTGGTCCGAGGCCCTGGGGAAGCCTGTGCTCATGTGTGGAGGAAAAGTAATTTCCTCTCTACCTTTCGTAGTTCTTAGCCAGAAGGGACTGGTTACATAAGACTGGTCACAGAGGAGAGTGCAGATGGGCATGTGGGTGCTCACGTGCACATGGATGACGCCCACAAGTGGTGCTTCTCAGGGTGGCTTTGGATGGAAACTTTGCCATCAGCGTCAGTGGTCAGGCGAGAGGAGCTGAGAGCAGTGGGTGCAGTCAGGGCAGCTGTTGTGGGACGAGTCCGGCTGGGGCCGCATGCAGAGGTGGCTGGATGTGTGTCCAGGCTGGGGAGGGCCTGAGACATCCGTGGTGTGACCCATGCCGCCTGCCTTGTAAGCAGGTCTCGGGAAGGGTGGGGGCTCTCCAGGTGCCCTTGGCTCACAGCGGTGTCTGCAGCAGTGGGAGCAAGTCCGCTTTGCTCTGGCCCGAGGGCCCCACAGCATGCGGCTCCTCTTCCCCACATCTGCACGACCTCAGGTTCCCAGGAGCTGGCTTCCTGGGTGGGCCTGACCCCCTTCAAGGCAAGGGCCATGCTGACCTGGGCCTGTGGTTACGTCTAGGTGCTGAGTCCTAAAGCCCGGGCCCTCTCCCTGCACCCTCTCCCTGCACCGTGCTGGCCCCTCCTCTGTGCCAGTTCACCATCCGTTCCTCCTCTCCTCACCCCGCTAGGCCAGGGCCCACTGTCCTTGGGGGTCCAGTTTGCAGGGTCCCTGCCCCTGATGTGGGCTCACCTCATGCCTCTTGTCATGACTGGGTCTCCAGAGGGAACTGTGCGTGGGTTGTGGTCAGGGTGGTCTGACAGCTCCCAAAGGCCAGACCTGGGATGTCAGGGCGCTATGGGGGGAGTGGCCCTTGGGGCCCGGGGTGTGAACCTGGAGGTGTGTTAGGCCAGATGGTAGCTCTGGCAGGCTGGTGTGCTCCGGTGTGGTCACACAGGTGGTCACTGTGAAATGCGAGCCTCTGGGCTGGCCTCTAGGAAGTGTGCACTGGGGCAGCCCAAGGGTCAGGGCCGCCTGGAGACCAGCAGCCCCAGGGCAAGCATGAGGTGGGGTGCATGGCCGAGGGGTCTCAGGGCCCCTCCCCCAGCCTGACCCCATGTCCTTGTCCCCAGGCGATGGCAACCTGCACCTGAATGTGACCGCAGAGGCCTTCAGCGCCTCACTGCTGGGGGCCCTGGAACCCTACGTGTACGAGTGGACGGCTGCCCAGCGGGGCAGCGTTAGCGCGGAGCACGGCCTGGGCTTCAGGAAGAAGGACGCCTTGGGCTACAGCAAGCCGCCCGTAGCCGTGCAGCTCATGCAACAGCTCAAGGCCCTGCTGGACCCCCAGGGCATCTTGAACCCCTACAAGATGCTGCCCGGCCAGGCCTGAGCGCCTGCTCACTGTGGCTGTGGTCCAGGCTCATAGGATGCACTGGGCTTGCGGCCTCTGAGTGATGGGGCCGGTACAGTGTCCCGCTGCTTGGCTGGTTCTGTTGGGCCAGCACAGCACAGGGCCACCTGGTTTTGTCTGGTTCCACCAGCTCCTCTGCAGGTCAGGATGTGGGGCCTCCCGCTGGTTGGCCAGGTCTCATCTGTCCTCTGGTGGCTCCTAGAGCTCGGCCACAGCCCTTGGGAGGGGCCCTGGGCCTGTCTCTTGGCCCCCTCCCCGGCAGGGGCTGTGGCCATGCTGACAAGTTCCCCATGACCCTCCCAGAGTGACCCAGGCCCCGAGCTCCGTCCTCCCAGGGCCCTGACGAGGGCACCCGGTCCATTAGACTGTGAAGTTTCTGGACTGACCACTGGGTGTCCGAGGGCCAGAGTGACAGGAATGCTTCATTCCATTTCTAGAGGCCTGTCCAGTGCGGTTGTCATGCCATGCTCCATGTTCACCGAGCACACTAGCCTTGTTGCAGCCAGAGCCCCACCAATAGAGGGCATGCCATGGCCCCCCTTGGCCTGCATACCTGCCAGGGTGCCTTCTGGGTGCCGGAACATGGGCCAGAGGCTGGGCCATTTCTCTTCCTGCCTGTCAAGAGTTTTCAGTAAAATGTGAAGTGACCCTAAGCGTCTTGCTTCCATTACTAGAAAAACACTTTGTGTGAGCCGCTGCAACACGCCTGAGCGTTTATGCCCTCCCTGGACATCTGGGCCCTGGTGCCAGCCCCCATCCCTATCCCTGTCCACTACTGGGATGGACAGAGGTGATGCTCAGCCACTGGGCCTGTGCAGGGTGGGGTCTGTACCTGAACCCCGGTGTGTCAAGGCTCTGAGGCAGTTGCTCCCTGGTGCCCAAAGACACCTGCCCAGCCAGGGCCTTGGACTTTGGATTGCCGTGGATTGGCAGGGTGGGTGCTCCTGTGCCAGTGTCTTGCCCTTGCACGATTTGTGGACCTGGGCCTGGGGTCCATTTTCAGGCCCTCAAGCTGGCCCACAAGACCTGGCTCCCAGGCTGCTGCCTCTCCACTGTGGCCATGACTGGGTTCTGGGGACAGCCCTGCTCACCCAGGCAGGGTGGAGTCCAGGCCTCAGAGGGCCGCTGTCCCTGCTGCTGGGGGCTCGTGTGGAGCGGGCCCTGCTCCTGCTGTCCCTCTACTCATGACCCCTTCTCGTGAGTGAGGGCCAGGTTCTCCTGGGGTGGTGTCTGTTGGGGCCACACCAAGGTCGGGCAGGCAGGGCCAGCCCAGGCGCCAGGAGGAATCCCACTCTGGGAGCCATGGGTTTCCACACATCCGGAAAAACCTGTTAGAACCAGCAGGGAAACCCAGGACATCACCTTCTGAACCCACTGGTCAACGCAGACCAAAAGCCACCAGAATGTAGTCTCTGGGGACCACGCATCCACCTGACACTGTAGGCCGACATCTCCCAGTGGCCAGTGTCGGCATCCCTGCAGCGTGCGGGGTCCACAGAATTCAGAACCTCCCAGGCCGCGGTAGCTGACGGGCCTGCTTCGTACAAGGCCAGAACGAAGGCCAGGCCAGCCGGTGGCCGGCAGCCCC